AGCGAATGCCGGCGGACACTGTGCAAAGAGATAACCCAGATAATAGAGACAGAAAAACAGTTGGCAAGTTGATGCTGTTGCTGATGCTGTTGTTGGTTGGTTGGTTGGTTGGTTGGTTGGTTGCGTTTTCCCTGGCAAAGGGTACAATATACAGGGCAGACAGGAGCAGAAAGATAGAAGAGGCCAAAAACCAAGCGCTATGAAAAGAAAGTGAATAATGAATGATAACAAAAAGTAAAAAGTTTTCTTCTCCAACAACTAAAGTAAAAGAAAAGCAAGGTTTCAAGAGAAGGGAAAAAAGGAGGAGAAGGGAGGGTGAAAGTTTTTTATTTTCTTTTGATAAAAAAAAGTGTAGCGGGTTTGTTATGCTGAGTCGAGACAGCACACAGCTAACAAGCACACAAAGCGCGTTCAAGCGGAGCGACGGAAGAAAAAAAATAATCGGGCTTCATCATCTCCCCTGCCTTTTTCTTACACGCATGTCTTGGATGAGAAAGGAGCAAAACATCTTTTCGTCGCTTTGTCACGACAGTAGCGCATGGAAAGAAAGGACGAGGACAAATCAGATTCCCCCGATCCACACACACACTTTGAAAGCAGGCCAGGAAGCAAAAGTGAAAACAGCAGCCTCGTTGATCCTTGGAATTCCTTATTCGCCTAGCCAAGGACGGGCAAAGGCTTCAGTGCATTCTCCGGATGTGCGGACGGAGGCGCACCCAGTAGTAGCCCAGCGCAGCCAGTGCGCCGCCGAGATGGCCAGCGCCGTCGACCCGCGTGCTCTTGGCCTGCATGACACGCCAGAGATCCCAGGCAATAAAGCCGGTGGCAGCCATCCAGGCGCGCACCGGAACAATAAAGAACAGCAGCAGCTCGGCCTGCGGAAACAGACAGGCAAACAGCGTGGTAGTGCCTACAACCGACGTCGATGCGCCGAGCGCCATCTGTCCGGCGGTCGTGCTGTCGCCGGTCGCGTAGGGGAGAACGAATCCGCGGATCAGCAGACTGACAGCGTTGCCAATGACCGCAGCGCCCAGATAGAAGCCGACAAACCGCCTGGTTCCCAGGATGCGCGCAATATCGGTGCCGAACTGGTGCAGCACAAACATATTGACCAGCAGGTGCATTGGCTCGACGTGCGAGAACGCCGCCGTCACAAGCGTCCACACCCGGCCCTCTCTAATAGACTGGAGGTTGATGGTGAAGTTGCTTGCCATCCACTTGTACTTGCTGAGATCGCCAAAGCTCTTGGCCTTGCCGTTTGCGTCTATCCACATCACAAACACAAGCCCGTTGATTGCAATAATCGTGTAGACGCAGGCCTCGGGCGTCAGCTTCCACCCTCTTCTCTCTCCGTAGTTTGCGTTGGTGTACTGGTCCCACCGCGCCCCTCGCCACTGCTGTCCGCCACGCAGCCGCGTCAGCGCTTGCTTTCCCGTCCACAGCGGACTGCGTTTTGCTGTTGCGTTCATTGCGTCCCTTCCTACCAGCGCCCGTGTTGACATCCAGCGGCTGCCTTTTGCAAGACTCTGTGTCTGTGGCCTGCATTGCTGCTGCTGTTGAAATCCCGCCAGTCGCTTGCTGCCTCTGCATGTCGTCCTCAGGAGCGGCGAGCGCGTCCCTGCCGTGCAGAGCAAGGAGCCCGATTTGGAGGCAAGGCCCGCCGAGAAGAGTCGTAGCATTCCTCCGTTTATGTGATTATTATAATTTTTGGAAAAGGCGTGGCTGACAAATTGAACCGATTGGCACAAGAGCATATCAATTAATATGAATGGAAATTGAAATTGAAATTGAAACTGAAACTGAAACTGAAACCACTGTCAAAATTTTTGTTGGCTGTTTTTCCAGTCAAACAAAATGGGCATAAAGCTGTTTCGGTGTGATTACAGGAAAAGCCATCATCCGCCGTGATCCAAAGCGTGAGGATTGCGCTTCATGCAGATCCTCTCCTTTTTCCGCAGATAAAAGTCTAGGGCAATCAAAATCCATACAGCGCAGAAGTCGGAGTTAGCGGGTTACTTACAGCTCCATGTTCCATTCCCTGATGGATCGTAAGGAACCTTTCTCATTCTCATATCAAAAGAAACGTCAGCTACAGGATTCGAACCTGCGAGGGCATAGCCCAATAGATTTCTAGCCTACCGCCTTAACCGCTCGGCCAAGCTAACCGTGAAAAACAAGCCAATCAGTGGCACTGAAAGCCACTGTCTCTGCCACATTCATTTTAATCATAATTAGATTACCAGATTGCAATTAGTGTTTATTACGATTGAATCAGAGCCTGGCTTTGTTCTTTTTCATGTGGCTTCTTCTTTTCTCTGTTTACATTTTGAAGCGCCTGTTTTTGTTCCATGCTTTTTCAGCAAGAGAGCGGATAGTGTGCAGGAGAAAATTTTTTTTCCATTTTCGACCACAAACAGAAATAAAAGGTGCAACCGAGCTCATAGCAAAAAAAAAAGAAGGCGAAAACAGCGAAGAAACAAAATAAAAAGGATGCGGTTGGTGACGAGCGTCTTTTTCCTCCTGTTCGGTCTGTTTTTCATAGCACAGCTAAAGCCAGAAGAATCACCTTGTCGTCACTACCACGCTTCCAGCACCACCGCACACCCGGCCGTCTATCCGCACAGCAGCAGCAGCAAGAACAACAACAACAACGCAGTACCAGTAATGTCAGCCAACGAGGAACGCTCCTTCATTGCCGTCAAGCCCGACGGCGTTGAGCGCGGACTGGTGGGCGAGATCCTCCGCCGCTTCGAGGCCCGCGGATTCAAGATCCTTGCGCTCCAGCTGATCCACCCGACCAAGGAGCTCCTGAGCGAGCACTACAAGGACCTTGCGGACAAGCCGTTCTTCCCCAAGCTCCTCGCATACATGCAGTCGGGTCCCGTCGCCGCCTTCGTTATCCAGGGAAAGGGCGCCGTCAAGATCGGCCGCGCAATGCTCGGTGCCACCAACCCCCAGGACTCGGCTCCCGGCACCATCCGCGCTGACTTTGCGCTCGATATCGGCAAGAACGTGTGCCACGGCTCCGATTCCGTCGAGTCGGCGGAGCGCGAAATCGCCCTGTGGTTCCAGGACGGCGCAAAGTCCTACCCGCGCTCGGTTGACGCTCTTATCTACGAGTAGATAGACTGCTTTTTTTCTTGCTCTTCCTCCTCGCTCTGCGGATGTGATGGAGGAGGAGGAGGCGGCGGCGGATCTTTCTTTTAGAGCAGTTTGAATAAATGCCTCTTCTTTTTCTGCACTCGATGCGCTTGTTTGTTCAGCGACTGGCGTTTGCTTTTTTTTGTTATCGCTTCAAGAACGATGCAAGAAGCTCTGGTGCTTGGGTCCCAGCTGATCCATCGAATGTACCCAACCATAAGCCCGTCTATGCGCTTGGCACCACACACGTCATGCGTGTTTGCCATAATAACAGAACGCACACAATCTTTTTTGTCACCTGTTTCTTTTTTTTTTTCTTCCAAGAGAGACGGGCTCATCCATACGAGCTACTACATAAACATCCATCTATTATTCTGTTATACACTGCAATTGTAGTACATTGCTAGATACGTCCTGCGCAAAACAAAAGGAGGGGGGAAGAACCATGACGGACGACCGCTACAAGGAGGAGCAGCAGAACGAGGTTGACATTCTGCAATCGATCTACCCGACAGAGTTCGAGGAGATCGCCACAGACCCACAGTACAAGTTCTCCATCAAGATCCCCATCGACGACGACGGAGAGGACGAGATCCGCCCGTGTGTAGTGAAACTGGTAGTCGAATACACACCAACGTACCCCGACGAACTGCCCGAGTTTGACCTGGTGCTTGCCGATGACGAGGACGGCGAGGATGACGAGGACGACGAGGACGGCGGGGATAATGGCCATGGCGGCGGTGCCAAGCAGCAGCTGGGCGAGACCGACGCAACACTGAGTGAGCAGGACATCGAGGACATGAAGGCAAGGGCCCGGGAGATGGCCGAGGAAACGCTTGGCATGGCCATGGTGTTCAGTATGGCCACCACGATCAAGGAGACATGCGCCGACCGGCTCCGCGAAAAGACCAACGAGTTGAAGCGGATCCGCGAGCTGCGGATCCAGAAGGAGATCGAGGCCGAGCAGGCAAAGTTCGTTGGCACCCTGGTCACCAGGGCCAACTTCCTCGAGTGGAAGGAAAAGTTCGACAGGGAGATGAGCGAGCGGAATCTCCGGAACCAGGCCGACCAGACGGCTGCCGCGGGTCGCCGTGGTCCCTCGGCCGGCAGTGGCGGTGCGCCGGCCGGTGCTGCCAGTTCCAAGAAGGACGGGAAGCTCTCGGGGAGGGAGCTCTTTGAGCAGGACAGGGCGCTGGCGCAGTCGGACTCCAAGTTCATTGCCGATGGCGATGTTTCCGTCGATGCCAGCCTGTTTGCCAAGGAGGAGGACATTTCTGACGACGACGATGACAATTAATAATACATCTTCTTGAATGGTTCTGTTGCATCTCTTTGAATACCAATTCTACTATGTCTGTTGTCTGTGTGGGGGTTGTCCTTTGGATCTTTCACGTGGCTGGCACGGCATCTCACTTTTGTTTTAACCACTGATCCTCACTAATTGAAATGGAGTAAAAAAAAATAAGCGCTTTTCATTCGCTTATCCAGACAACTCCTTTCCTGTCATTTCACGCTGAAGCATCTAGGCTCCAAATGACTGGTCGGGCGACGCTTCTTTCTTTTCCTTTTCTTTTTTTCCCACCCTTGTCTTTATAATCTTTCTATTTATGCCTCTTATTGCTGCTGCTATTCCTTGACCTTGTAAAAACTAGCTATCCAACCTGCACCTCCATTATTACTATTATACGTGCCGTTCTATCTGTTTAACCCATCCGCTTCCCTCTAATAGACGCAGCATAACAAAAGCCATGGACAGCATCAACCCCACGCTGCCGGAGATATCGGCGCCCGGCATCTCCGACAGCCCGGCCAGCCATCCGCTCTTTTCACTCGGCTCCTCAGACCAGCAGCAACCTGAGGAAGCAGAGAGCAGAAAGACACAGCAGTCCGGCTCCACAAAAAGCAAAGGCAAAGACAGGAGCGATGAAGGAAAAGGAACGACTGCTGCAGCAATAATAAGAGCAAGCAAGGCGGCGAAGAAGAAGGGCGAGCTGTTGACGGAGGACGAAAAAAAGGCAAACCACATTGCGTCGGAGCAGAAGCGGCGACAGAACATCCGAGTGGGCTACGACCAGCTTATCCAGATTGTGCCCACACTGACGCCGTCGCAGCGTAGCGAGGCCCTCATTCTGCAAAAGACCGTCGAGTACATAAAGTACCTGCTGATGGAGCGGGAGATCCTGGACGGCCAGCTCAAGGATGTCGATACCAACTAGGATCCACCCAATCTCATTCTTTTTGAGTATGAGGACTTCTGGTTGTGTGATCTCATCTGCTGCGAGATTTCTTGTTTTTTTTTGTAATATCAGCGTCATCCATTATCTCTCATTTCCAAAAGTGGATTTTTCTTGTTTAAATATAGACAGCAGACAAAGTAAAGTGAGAAAGAAAACTAAATAAAAAACTATACATGGAGGAAGCGCCGACAGTGGTGGGGCTTTAAGAAATGTGAAAGAGGGTGGTGGCGGTCCTTTTTAATTCCTCCTGGAGAACCCCAAGAAGACTCATTGCTCCAGCTTTTCAGGAACAGCAAACCCAATCTTCCGCGCATGCGCATGGATCTGGTCAGCGGAGACAAACAGGTTGAAGCCAAGGAGCTTGATCATAGCACGCTCCATGCTGGCAATCTCGCGATGCGCAAACACGCCGCCCGTGGCAGCCACCAGCGACTTGACAGGCACCGCGCTGTCTGACCAGAACTTGTCGGCAAGCAGCAGCGATGCAAGGAAGATCCTGTACGGCGTGTCTGCGGTCCCCGTGGCCGATTCCGGCAGTCGCTGGCTGAGCCGCTCCACGTATATCAGCGCCGTCACGAGCACGGCTGTCTTGATATCCAGCGCCGTGGTTATGTTGAGTATGAACGCCTCTATTGTCGGCAGGTTTGGGAGCAGCGGGTTGAGCAGGAGCCCGCCGCCATGGCCTGCTGCTGTTGTTGCCATTCCACCGCTGCTGCCGTTGTTGGTCCGCAGCAGCGACTTGAGAGAATACGCTGCCGTGCGGAGCAGCTGGTGCTCGTGCACGTAGCTCAGATCCACCAACGGACCGCCTCCGCTTGGCGTGGCTATGGCTGCTATCATTGCTATGTGTTCTGTGTTCTTTGCTATCTGTGCCGTTCTGTGGGCGTGGGTACAGAGATCTGGAGTGCTCGTGTTATATTGAAACAATTCAAAGGATAATGGCTGCAATAATTGCATATACAAAGAAGATGAAGTGGACGAGGAATGATGGAAAGGAAGATGGGGGGATGTGCTGGCGTTTATAAAAGCAGCAGACTCTAAGCCTTCTTTTTTTCTTATGCCTGTAAACAGAAATGAAACAAAGAACTTTTTTTTTTTTTTTTTGCATATACTTTTTTTGGGGACGGGGAAAGAAAAAAAAAAGAAACAGAAAAATCGCTGCGAGCCATGCTTCGTTCTACGTCAGCCAAACTGCAGGTCTTCCCGCCCACACTCGGCACTCGATTCTCTGTTTTCTCTTCTCTTTCCTAATGAGGCGGACAAATGGGAACCACAGACGCAAACGAGGCTTGTGTGAGGGAGAGGGGAGAATAAAAAGGCGCGCACAATATCGTGCCCAATCAAGCCCAGCATCTTTCTTGGCTCTCTTGATCTGGTTGGACATGTTGTCCGATCATTGCCATCCGTGCCTCATTGTCATACGCTTCTTTTTGCCGGCATGTCTCCAAAAAGCACTACTGCGATTCGATATATGGTGGAAAAACATCATGTCTGCCCATCTTTCCACACCTTCCCGGCCCGTCCGCAAGATGTGTGGAAAGAGAGGAGAGGAGGAGAGGGCTGTTATGTTGTGTGGTGTGCGATGCAACTACTATAATGCAGCTCTTGAGAAACAAATGCAACCGCCGCCATCTCTGTCCCTTCCTCTCTTTCTCTCTCTTGAAATGTATGGTCGGGTACAAACAAGTTTCCCGCCACACACACACACACCATCGCCATATACAACAGACGTTTTCCCCATTCGGCTGCTTGCTTTGTTTTTTTTACCTTTCTTTGTTTGCACAAAG